CCCCAAAACCCCAAAACCCCAAAACCCCAAAACCCCAAGTATTTAAAATTATATTGAGAATTATAAATATTATTAAATGGAAGCTAACAGTAAGCCATAACAAAAAAATAAATTAGAATGAAAAACCTGTAACTAAGCATTTAAGTGTCTTGAACTTAGTGAGCCTAAATAAGTACCTTGACACACATAAGTAGTCCTCTGGATATATGGTGAACGCTCGAAATTGTTTAAAGCAACGAATTTAAAACTTTACTAAGTGCTTGAACACTATATTGATGACATAAAATGAACTTGTCAATTGAGGTGGCTCCTCAGTATTTATCATTCCTGGATTCGTGAAGCTGGTGATTAGCTGAAGAATTTGTAAACAAAAGCTCTAAAGATTTCACCATCATTGGTTAGGCCATTGTATCGGTGTCTTTTAATGTATATCCTAACTGATAAAATATCTAATTTTCTTGCAAATAGATGATAAAGAGAAAGTAGGAGACTCAATTCTTGCTAAAAATTCATTAAAATCTTACTCTATGCCACGAGTATTCAATGATGAATCGTTGAAAGAGTCTTCAGAGGTTTCAAATAAATCAGAAATCAACCTAAATAAATCCTCAGCTCAAGGAAGAGATATTTCATATAAGCAGAGAAACAATTCAAATGAATTCAATGATTTTTCTGGAATTTAACACTGGAATTCATAATTTAAAGGGGGCTCATTCAGAAGCGTCAAATTTAGAAATCTCAAAACTGAAAGATACAACGGACCAGAAGGTTAATAAAAATATTAAAATGAAGCCTGTTATTTCAAGTCTTAAGCAAATTGATCCTAAAAGAGTCATGAGTCAAGAGACGAGCCCTCAAAAGAAGAGGAAGAATAAAGTGGTTCAGCTTAAAAACGCTTATTGTTCAAGTTCACAAAGTAATCTGAGATTCTTGAAGACTCATATGAAGAATCCCAAAGCATATGAGTAAGAATCTTTAATAATTTTAGGAATCAATCTCAAGCTAATTTCCCAAAAACTGAGAGAGAAGCAGTTTTTAAGAGAACTAATCTGGGATTCAATCAGAAAGATAGAAATAGAAGGCTGGCAAAGAGCGGGTCATGGAGAGAAGAGATCAGCAGTGCATTTGCTTCACAGGTAGTCTAATAACACTATCCTCAAATTTCAACAAATAAATTTAGAGAGCACCAGTGATTCCTGCAATCTTTAGAAACAAAAGCAATAGATCACCTGAAAATAAACCAAGGTTAGTAGAAGGGACTAAAACTCCAAGTTTAAAATCTAAAATACTAAGAAAGTAAGAATATTTTATAAAACATAGGGAAACAAACAGCAAAGGTAACGAAAACAAGCCAGCATTTTGCTCAGATATTTTAGTTCCACAAACCAAAAATAGCAAGACCTACACTGATAGATTTTCTTCAATCAAAGAAGAAGTTCCAAAGAGAAATATGGGGATTTCAAATGAGAATTTCACTCTCACAGATCGTGAAATTGAAATAGCTCGCTTGATTGGAGATAACAAGAAGGAGTGAGTTAGTTTACAATAAATATAGCCTAATCAAGAACACACTTGAAGAGCAGGATAACATAAAGCAGCTAGCTAAGATAATGATCAACCTTAAGGAGAAAAGTGGTCAAGGAAATATTGCAGCATCTCTGCCAGAAAGATATACAATTGAAGAAATGCTTAATGTTATTGATACTAATCTTGATTCAAATTTAAAATCTAGGAGACTTCACCCAGATAAAGAAAAGAGCAAAAAGGTTATTATTCCATCTAGTTTTGCTCAGAATCAAGATAAAGAGATGTTTCAATTTTTGATGAACAATCAACCTCTGGAGGAAGAAAAAGTAAAAGTGGTTGTTAGTGACGACAATACCAAGTAAAACCATTCATCATCTTTATAGGATCAACCAGATAGAAAATAAAATTTCTAATATTCAAATGTTACATGATATGAACACATTCAGATTTTTCAAAGATTTTTCTTTCCCAATAGAAATTGAAAGCCTCAAAGCATTCTGCAAGTTAAATGAGAAGAGTTTACACACAAAAATGATTAAAAATTTAATGGTCTTTGAAAGACTGTTCATAGATTATGAAGAAAATACTGAAAAGAAGGGTGAGCCTGATATCCAAACAATGATCAAATATATTCAAGAAGGATCATTATCAAAATCTAATTTCTGTTCTCTTAAATAATATCAAAAATATTGAAAAAGAATACGCTTCTCACCCAGAAATGACGGACGACTTAAGAAAGCACTTGCAACAAAAATTTTCTACCAAATTCTCGATGAACGAGAGAAAACAAATGCAGATAATGAAGTTATGGATGAATTACATGAAAGAACAATTTGTAGAAAAAGATAGTAATAGCCTCCTTAATAAACTCAGAAATTCACAAGTCATCATGTGATTCTCTATCTGATATCTCTGCCAACAACTTGCTATTGAGTGCAAAGAAAAGAGCGATATTTTATCAACCATTTTAGAGCTCTACTTTAACATATTTAATAACTATGAGACTGTTATTGAGAGCCGACTTGAGGCAAGAAAGAAAAACATTATGAAGCAAGAAATGGAGCGCCTTGAAAAACAATATAAGGAATTAAAGGATAACTTGTACAAAGAATACTCCACTCCTTATAGACCTTCAGTTGTAACCAACTCTAAAAAGAAGGAAGAAATTCCTACATCTCATATTAAAAAGCAAGAAAGAAGGAAGATTCCTCAGAAATCTCCGAAACCTACAGAAAAGAAGTCAAGTCCTAAAAGGAAATAGTCAACTCTACACTACTCCCTTAAAGAAGGAAGATAATGTTGAAGAAGAGCAAAAAGATAAATCCTGTAACCCAATCTTAGATGAAACAATTTCAAATATCAAATTTCAGAATGAATCTTTTGAAGAACAAAAGGAATTCTTGATGACAGACTCTACTTCTGAAGCCAGTTATTCGACAATATGAGTGGATATCCCTAGTAGAAGATGTCAATCCACCGGGTTCCCAACTTATAAGAAGATATCAATGGGAGAAATTGAGAGTCAGTGCAAGACTGAAGTAACAGAAGTGGGTGAACCTAAGCCATTCGCTGATGCAAAGATACAAACTGATGATGTGGAGATGTATAAATTATCGTCCAATAATCATATCTTCCACCTTGCTCAGAATTCCTACTTGACTCCTGTTGAACAAAGGTTAATAGATAAGCTTAATATTGAGTCTAAGAAGGGGTCTAGACAGAACAAGATTATATCTCTGTTAATGAAGAATAGTGACTATAGCCTTCGTGTCCAGGATTGACACCACTCAGATAAGCTTAATGCTTTACTAGACTCTGAATATATGATGCCAATTTATTATAACAATTTATACGAGAAGATTGATAAAATGCTAGCTGCAGGAGAAGAGTTCAGGTATGGATCTGAACCTACAGAGACTATTAACTCTGAAGAAAATGAAGATTTCTCTGAAGTCGATCTCGATGATTCAGATGAAGTATTTAATTCCACTGATCGTTATAAGAATATACCAAAATCCTTGCTGAAGACTATATCAAGTTTAAAGAAATCAGGGTTGAATTTGACCAGAAAGGATTTGGTGCACAAGTTCAGTGATAAATTAATGGATGGAAAGAACCCTTCTAATTACAAGAAGAAGAAAAGTAACTCAGATCTTGAACAAGTAAATCTTGAAGAAGAGAAAAGACTTTATGAAGAAACCAAAGCTCTCCTTGATGAAGAGATAGACGGATTTGAAGATGCTGAAGAATTAGAGGCTGAACTGCCAAGAAGAATACATGAAGCTATGGCCAACCTTGAAAAGAGAATGAAGTATCTTAAGAAGGATGAATTTGGAGACCCCATTATTGAAGATGGTTATCTTGAAGAACCAAGAGGAAAGAACTTACAACTCTCTGCATTGAGACTGTCAAACTTGCTTGGAATGTTATTCAAATAAGAATCCTCTTCCTGAATTCCAAGATGAAATCAATAAATTGATGCTGAATTTTTCTTCCAGTGGAGAGCCAGATCTTGATGAAGTAAAGAACAAGATTATGACTGGAAAAGGACTGGGAGGAATTCTTGGAATGATCCAGAAAAATATGCAAAAGACTAAAGCAGTCACAAAGAACATGGGAGGGTTGAATAATTATCCTCCAGGATTTAGTCCATCAAGAAGAAAATCATCTTTTGTTAATTTTGATAGTAAAGTTAATGAAATAAACTATAGAAGGCAAAAAGGGAAGTGGATTAGCAGATATCGCAAGGAGTAATTTTGAATGATTATGTTTAGCTTTAATGAAAAATAAGAATAGTCCTGGAAATGGGATCAATTTTGCAACGAGTCCAGGCTCAGGAACTGGATCAGATTATTATTACTGAAAGAATTGAGGCTCTAAAGTTCCAGCAAAGGATGATAAAGAGATTCAAACTGATAGTACAGATATCTCAGAAGGTATAAAAATAAAAGAACCTTCAAGAAGAAAAAGTAGAAGAGGCTCAGTACTTGATCCTAACAAAATCGTAAAGCATCTCCCAACCCAGCAAAACTTTGGTGATGGTCTATTGAGTAGCTTAACAAAAAGAATGGAAACTAAATCATTCAAGAATAACAATAACCAAAAGATAAAAACAACAAAGAAACAAGGATTTAACTTCAACCACCCCTCAGCAACTATGAATTTTACAAACTACGAAGGATTTGCAACTCCAAATTCTCGGGACCCGTTTAGCTTTAGACTGTTTAATCTTAGCAAATCTGGATTTTCTGGTTCAGCAAAAGGATTCAAGCTGCCCAATTTCATATTCATCTTTGTTCAAAAGTAATAATTCTCTGATCCTCTAGATATCGTCAAGGGCATAAATCTGTGAAATCAGTGAACAATCTATCAATGAAAATGATGATTAAGCAAATGTCTCAATTTTATTCAGAAAAAGTGAGTCAGGCCAAAGACTCTGTAAACATCAGAAATGCTACTATCTTAGAATTCGTATACGAATATCTACAAAATAGATATGGAAAGACACCCATTTTGGAAAGAAAAGTTAAAGAGATTCTCCTGACTACTCTCAAAAATGAAGCAAAATTTAAAAGTATAAAGCTTTTTGCAAAGTTTATGGGGATTTCACTTACATCAGCATACACAAATGATGATCTTTCAATGTATTATATTCTAAACAGACAGTTCTATATCAATGATGCCTATGTAGAAGCTAATTCTGTGAAGAGAGAGTTCAACTTCAACAATGGGAAGATGAATGTTGGAAGAGTCCTTGATCAGATAAGGCTATATTTTTCAGTCAAAGTGTCTCCTAAAAATATGGCTAAACTAGTCTCTGAAATTCAATCGAAGCTGCCAGGTCATGAGAAAGAAGGGAATTCCAAATCAAGATTTGCTCAAGATCCATCCTCCAAAGATCTTTATGGGCAAGTAATCGATTGTGAAGATGTGTATTTTGCGTGCATAAAATCCTACCAGAACTACAAACAGAATATAGTTCAATATTTCCTAGATAAAAATCTTATAACAGTCGAGAACGACGAGGAAGACTCAATAGATACAGGATCAATTATTGAGGAAAAGGAGGAACTGATGGAAGAATCATTTAACGAAGAAAACAAGAGTGATTTCTTGAACCCAACACCAAGAGCCAAGAAAGTGAAGAAGCCTATAAATGTGAAGGATATAATGCTGGACCAGGTGTATTCATTTGACGAGTTCAAGAACATCTTCAACTCCATTAATAAGTCGGTCCAGTTCACCAGTGACTCTCTTGAAGTCATATTTGATAAATATTCTCTATTTAAGGGGGAAGAGAAGAAAATCACTTTGGAATCAATTGCAGCAATTGTGTTCAAATTTGAAATCTTGGCTATATAAATGATAATTGTTGCTATTTCAATCTCAGGATACTAGCTCGGGGTTTTGGGGTTTTGGGGTTTTGGGG